TAAAGTGTGATTATTGTAGTTGGCTGGGTCTTGCTTTTAAAAAAATCCAATTTAATAATTTCTGCCTTTTAGTTTGAATGTTTAGATCATTTACACTTGATGTTACTGTTGATATGGCTTGATTTAAATATATCATCTTGCATTTGTTTTCTATTTGTCTCACTGTATTCTTCTTGGTGTTTTCCTCTTTTTCTACTTTTTTAAGAATAACTAATTTTTAAAAATATATATATATTTTATTGATTTTTTTACAGAGAGGAAGGGAGAGAGCTAGAGAGCTAGAAACATCGATGAGAGGGAAACATCAACCAGCTGCCTCTTGCACACCCCCTACCGGGGATGTGCCCGCAACCAATGTACTACATACCCTTGACCGGAATCAAACCTGGGACCTTTCAGTCAGCAGACCGATGCTCTACCACTGAGCCAAACCGGCTTTGGCAAGAATAACTAATTTTCAAAAATAATTCCAGTTGATCTTCATGATTGGCTTATTAGTTATACCTCTTCTAAAAATATTATTGATTGTTTTAGGAGTTAAAATATACTTCTTTTAAAAATATATTTTTTTATTGATTTCAGAGAGAAAGGGAGAGGGAGAGATAAACATCAATTATGAGAGAGGATCATTGATTGATTGTCTCCTGCAGGTCCCACACTGGAGAGTGAGCCTGCAACCAAGGCATATGCCCTGACCAGGAATCAAATCATGACCTCCTGGTACACAATCATGGAGCCATGCCAGTTGGCCTATAATATACTTCTTTAACTTATCACAACATATGTTCAGATAAAGTTATACCACTTTGCATATAGTGCAAGAAACAGCATTCGAACCTTATAGCAGTATATTTCTACTTCCTCTCCATCTTTTTTGCTGTTGTTTTCCTGCAGTTTATTTCTACACATGTCATAAACCCTACAGTACCTTGTCTTATGTTTGCTTTAGGAAGTCAGTTAAAATGAGAAAAAAAATGTTTTTTATCTTTGCCATTATTTTTACCATTTTCATACTTTTTATATCTTTTTGTAAAATACCCATTCCCATCAGGTATCCTTTTGCCTCCAGAACTTTCTTTAACAGTTCCTATTAGTACAAGGCTGCTGGCACTGAATTCTCACAGCTTATGTTTGTCTGGAAAAGTCTTCATTTCACTTTCTTTTTTTCTCTCTCTCTTTAATAGACTTATTTTGTGAGCAATTTTAGGTTTAGAGAAAAATTGAGTAGAAAGTACAGAGTTCCTGTATTCCTTAACTATCCAAGCATGTCTAAGCTAACAGTAGGCCTTCAGCATATTAACCACATATTAATCCTCACAAAATTAAAAATAATTTTTTATATTGCCATATTACCTTTTTTTGTTGTTGTTAGTCCTCACCCGAGCATATTTTTCCATTGATTTTTAATATATTTTTTATTGATTTTGTACAGAGAGGAAATGAGAGAGATAGAGAGTTAGAAACATCAATGAGAAAGAGTCATCGATCAGCTGCCTCTTGCACACCCCCTACTGGGGATATGGCCGCAACCAAGGTACATGCCCTCGACCGGAATCGAACCCGGATCCCTTCAGTCCCCAAGCCGACACTCTATCCATTGAGCCAAACCGGTCTCGGCTTTCCATTGATTTTTAGAGAGAGTGGAAGGGATGGTGTGAGACAGAAACATTGGTGTGAGAGAGACATCGATTGGTTGTCTCTCACCTGAGCCTGCAAATGAGGTATGTGCCCTTGAGTAGAATCGAACCCAGACCCTTCAGTCCATGGGCCAATGCTCTATCCACTGAGCCAAACCAGCTGGGGATAACTACACTTATCTTGAAGTCTTAGTCTGAGGTGTTGGACATTTGGACCCCATGTCCTCACCCCTCCTTGTGTCTCTGGAAGCACAACCCCTGCTCATCCTCAATCTCGTCTTTCCAGCTCTCCTCCTTGTTCTTCTCTGTCATAAGGACCTTGTTACTGTTCATCATCCTTGGTGTTCTGGTCTACTTATGGGCCTCAACTGTGAGCTTCTTCAGGCAGGACCTGGAAGCTTCTTGTCTCTGAACCCCAAGCTTATTGCCCTGAGTCTGGAGCCAGAATGTAACTGCGTGAGTAGGTGAGGGAAAGAAGGGACAAAGACAGGAAGGCTTACTTCCATGGTTACATTTCCAGGGAACATTGCCATGTAAAGTTAAGCCATCCTCCTTCTTTATAGTTTAAAAAAATCCATAAAAATAATACTTACTTGTTGAAACATTTTGCAATTTTATGTGTTCAATAGTGAAAGTCCCCTCTCCTCACTAGTCTTAGGTAATGACTGGCAACAGTTCATGTGTATTCTTCATATATGAATGTATACATGTGTATATATATATGTATGTATAGGTGTGTATATATATATGTATGTATATATGTGCATGTGTGTCTTTATATGTACATGTTTTGCACATATATACATAAATATAATTTGTGTTAAGAAACGAACTCATACCATATGTAAAATTCTTTACCTTGCCTTTCCATTTATTGTAGCCTGGCATCTGTTTAACTCAGTGCATATTCACGGCACCTTTAAAAATGGTTGTATAGTTCAGTTGGAGTGCTTCAGTTGGTTGAGCAATGTTCTGTGCACTGAAAGGTTGCTGGTTCGATTCCCTGTCAGAGCACATGCCTGGGTTATGGGTTTGATCTCCCCGTTGGGGCATGTGTGTGAGGCAACTGATTCTCTCACATCGATATTTCTCTCTATTCCTCTCTCTAAGCGTGTCCTCAAGTGAGAATTGAAAACAATAATAAAAATAAATAAATAAAAATGGTTGTATAGTATGTCAATGCATAGATATATCATAATTCATTTAAGCTTCCTTCTTTTGATAGACATTTTGATTGTAATTCTTTGCTTATATTGTAATACTGATGGCTGACACCCTTGGAGGCTTATCATGTGCTTAGTACCGCATAATCTCATTTACTCTTCCTGAGATTTTTGTGAGGCATGCAAGGTTGTCCTCTCTGCTCTCATCTCATTAGCATTGCTGACAGGGGAAGTATTGAGGCTGATGCTTCTGGACTCTGCTCCTCTTACTCTGGCCTCTCCAGGTCACGGCAACATAAAGAAGCCAGATTTTCTAAAGCATTAGTGCCCAAAGCAACAATTGCTTTGTGTCTTTAGCTCCCTCCCATCTGTAGTCACTGTGGTAGATTTGTTCCTGTTCAGGCCTCTCTCTCACTCTTTCCTCGCTTCCTTAAGAGGGCAGGTCCCCTGTGACCACTGAGGCTGGATGCAGATCTGTCTATCTGTGCTATGGCCTAGAAGCAGATTGGGGATCTTTGTTGCTTAATTTCCCAGGGGAGACTGACATGAATGTGGTCCAGTGAAATGTAATCAGGGACTTTATAGTATCTGTTTTGACTTTCCCAAACCTCCTGGCTGCCAGATCTCGACCTTTCATCCCAGGGGTGGTATAAGTCTCTCTGCGGACAGGCTGGAGTTGATGGATTTCTTCCTGTAGTATGCAGGCCAAGATTGCCTGTTTGAATTCCACATTTCTAGCCTTTTTCTAAAGGTCAAGGTGGGTTTTTGACTGTAGATAGTTCTCCAGATGAACAACAGGAAGTGATGTTTGTTGTTCCTGGATTGTCAGCTAGTCAGAGGACAGAGATAGGCAAGTAGGGGCCCTTTCTATTTGCCAGTCCCTCTTCTAGCTTACTGAACCCTCCAGGTCACCATAAGCTACTGCTGATTGCACCGAATGTTTCCTCCTCTATGTCTTTGTATAAAATAGCATTTTTGAGGCCTGTTTTTCATGCAATAAAATTCACCCACTTAAAGCATCCAGTAAGATGAGTTTGGGTAAATGTACACAGTCATGCAGCCATCACCGTGGTCAATTTCCATCACCCCTTGTTTCCTTGTTTGCCCCTTTGTGGTCAGCCCCTTCCTTCCTCACCACCATTGGCCCAGGCAACTGCTGACTTGTTTTTGGAAGCTAAGGTTTTTAGAATTTCATATATATGAAATCATGTGATATGCAGTCTTTTCTGTGTGGCTGCTTTTTTCTTATTTAGCAAAATGCATTTGATATTTGTGCCTTTGGTTACCAGCAGTTCAGACCTTTTTATCGTTGAGTCATAGTCTATTGTGTGGATAGCCCTTGTTGACAAGCATTGGGAGCTTTCCATTATGTGGCTATTGTAAAAAAATGTTAATACGGACATTTGTGTACAAGTTTTTGTGTGGACATACTTTTTCATTTCATTTGGGTAAATAAATACCCAAAAGAATAATAAATGTATGTTTAACTTTTTGAGAAACTGTCAAATTGTTTTCCAGATCACATGTGCTGTTTTGCATTCTCTCTGACAATGTCAGTATGTTCCTGTTGCTTTATATCTTTACATCTAGTACCAGTACCAAGTACTCTCTGACTTCTTGTAGTGGGTGTAGTGTTACCTCATTGTGGCTTTTTATGTCTTTTACCTTAGTTTTGAGAAATATTTTCAGAAGATCTGCAGGGTAGTGCAGGGAGTTTCCTTATAGCTTTTGCCCAGTGCCCTCTAATGTGCTGGTTTTCAATCAGACGTGATTTTGCTCCACTGCCCTGGAGATCTTTTTGGTTGTCACTTTATGGGGTGAAGATGCTGCTGGCACCTAATGGGTAGAGAGCATTTCAAACAGAGGTAGCCATCAATGTCTCTTTGAGCTCTTCCTTCTGCATTTATTGGCCATTTAATTCCTTCCCATGTCATGGGGCCTGTCTTCCAAGTCTGTCTAGGGCTGAAAAATCACTCAGAAGAGGAGTAGAGGGTTTCCTTTGTCCCAAGTGGACAGTTTAAACCTTCAGTGACTGCCAGATTAGAAGACACAGTCCCTCCCTATAGGCTATTGACCCACATTGGAATGATCAACTTTGGATGTTCCTGGAAGCTTCCTCCCCTCTGGTTGTATGGTCTGCCCGTAGCCTGCGCCCTAGCAGTCAGTGTTGTAACTGTTGTATCATTTCTCATCTCTACAGTCAGATTATTGCCAGAGGGCTACTTGATATCTTCAGGGACTTTGGTAACGATGAAGAAGACTTCTTAACCGTCATGGCAATTGTGGTCAGATTGTCAGAAGATGCAGGTTTGTACAAGGAGCATATACTTTCAGGTTTTACTTGCTCATTTCCAAGACATTGTTTATAACCAGTGATAGCTAACGTAAAAAACTCTGCTTGTTAATCAATACATTTAAAGCTTTGTCTACCCAAGAATGGATTTTGCCACAAAAAATGAGTGTCTTGTTTGGCATCAGATGATCCTTATTTTTCAGAAAATGAGAATGACTAACGGCTATGAATGCTCTTTGCCCTGGCAGTTAGGCCTTTTGTATTTCACAAGTTCTGCCAGACTATTGGTTGCTAAGAAATAGCCAATCAAAAGAAGGATTACAACAATCCAGTCATTACTTTCCCTCACCTCTGATCTTTGGAGACTAATCTTGATTTTTCTTTCTCTTTCTACCTCCACGATTGCTATCGTGGAAGAAAAGCACACTGCTGTACGGTAGACACTGAGATATAACTCTCACCTCGAACAGATGAGTCAGATGACTGAGTAGTGGGTTTGCCAGTACTGACAACTACACCCCCCCATTTATAATGACTGGTGAACAGCTTCAGGAAGTTTCAGAAATCTTAGATTTGCTTTAGGTTTTGATCATTTTAACTGAAAATGGAAAAATAAGCCTTCCATATAGTTCCCATATTTGTTTAAAATATTCATAAGACTATGACACAATGCTTTTAAAAAGACCCAAGTGAATGTTTTGAGTCGTTAAATGGATTCTCTTTATAAATGAGTCACCATTTACAGCACTGAAGCAATTATATATTTGTGTTAAATTTAATGTGGTATATTGGCGCTCAAGCTGCTCTTTTGTTTAATGCTTTGCCTTCGAAATAATTGGGATGCGTGGATTGTGGGGAGTGCATTTATGAAAGAATTATTTATAATGTATACATTCTGGCTGGAATTTAAATAAGCACAACCCATAGGTCTGGCATATATGCCATTAGTAGTAATGGCTTTTGGACGCTGGCCCAGCATGCAGACTTTTTGCACCCTCCTCGATTTATATATGGCTTGTTATAATAGAGTTGTCATTCTCTCTTCTTTTTATGTTTTTATATGGCCATATAGCTTATTAGCTTTGTAAGCCTGTCTGTAGCATAAATACTCTGAATGGGAAATGATTTTTAAACTGCATTTGTCTAATTTTTTTTGATTAAGTATTTTAGTAAGAAAAGCTAGAAACTATCAGTATGTACTAAATAAGATGCTTAGCGTAGTCTTATATAATTCTTTTCTTTGTTGTTTTTTTATTGCTGCAGAGCCCACAGTGCGGACTGAGCTGATGGAACAAATTCCTCCTATTGCCATTTTTTTACAAGAAAACAGGTCAAATTTTTCATTGGTGTTCTCCGAATATCTCATACCTATTGTAGTGCGGTACCTCACCGATCAAAACAATCAGGTATGAAAAATTGTAACCTTAAGATCTCTGTAGCAAATTCTCTAGTCTTACTTAACTGATCTTCATCATTCAGAAAGCAGCTTCTTAGAGTTAGGTGATTTGGGCACAAAAGATGTTTGTGCCCTGTTCCTCTAATCATCCAGGAAGATAGACAACACCTGTTATTATTATTATTAGATGCTTTTCTTTTTTCTTTTTCTTTTCTTTTTTTTTTTTTTTTACCTTTTTATTATGGAAATTTCCAAACACTCATAGCAGTAGAGAGAATATTAAAATGAATGCTCATGTGCTGTTCTCCAGCTTCACTATCATTAGCATTTGACCAGTCTTTTTTCATTTCACTTTCCAACATAAATCCAACCCAGATAAAAGCACTTCCCAGACACTGTATCATTTCAGCTATGAATGCTTTAGTATTACACTCTGAGAAATATGGACACTTTAAAAACATAATGACAGTGCCATTATCACAAGTGTAAAAATTATCAGTAGTTTCTTAATATCATCTGTTATCTAGTCATTGTTCAAATTTCCCCAGTTTTCTCATAAATCTGGTTTTGCAGATAATCTGTTCAAATCAGACGACACACAAGTTCATACTTGGATTTAGTTGACATGCCTTTCAATCTCTCTTCATTTATAAAGGTCTCCTTCTCTTTTTTTCCTCTGCTATTTATTTATTGGAGAAACTGGGCCATTAGTCCTGTCAGATTTCCCGCACTTGGGATCTGGCTGATCTTGTCCTCATCATGTTGTTCGAGATGTTCCTCCATTCTCAGTATTTCCCACACTGTGGGCAATTTAGAGGCTCTGTCAGACATCTGTATCATACAGGGAGCATATGTTCTGGATGCTGCTGTATTTTCGCCGGCATCAAGTCAGGGAGCAGAGAGCTGTGTGGTCGCTGGGTGCAGGTGTTGTCAGCCTTCCCTGTTCATTATGAAATCCCCATCAACCAGGAGCAGCCATGGGTGATCATTGCCACATCCAGGATTTCATTAGAGGCTGTAAACTTGTGATGCTCAAATCCCATCATTTCTTCTTCATTTCATAGCTGAGATTTTTCTATAAAGAATTTCTCCCTCAGCTATTTGGTATCCCTGAAAATCAGTTTGTCCAGGGAAGACAGTATACATGCTTTATTTCCTCCTTTATCAGTTTCTAGAACAATTAGTTGGTGTCCTAATAATCTACAAAGATTACCAATTACGTTTTAAAAATTTGTTTGAGTATTGTCATGAATCTGTGAATTTTAGCATATTAGATGTTTCTATCCATTGCAACCATTCTTTTTGATGATCAAATCATCCTAGTTTTTTTTTTTTTTTTTAAATAATATGTTTTCATTGATTTCAGAGAAGAAGGGAGAGAGGCAGAGAGATATAAACATCAGTGATAAGAAAGAATCATTGATTGGTTGCCTCCCGCATGCCCTTCACTGGGGATCAAGCCAGGCATGCTCCCAGACCAGGAATTGAACCATGACTTCCTGGCTCATAGATTGACACTCAACCACTGAGCCATGCTGGCCAGACAAATTATCCTAAGTTTGACGAGTGGGAACTCTATAAGTTGACCCTTGAATCTTCTTGATGTGACCCAGTAGACTTTTATCTGCAACTGGCCATTTCTCCAAGATGCCCTGGTTCCTTTAAGAGGGAAATTGTAAATCCCATTTACCATTGCAACAAAAAAATTAAGATATCTAGGAATAAACTTAATTAAGGAGGTAAAAGACCTGTACTCAGAAAACTATAGGATGTTGGTAAAAAGAGATAGAAGAGGATGTAAGCAAATGGAAGAACATACCATGTTCATGGATTAGTAGAATCAACATAATTAAAATGTCCATACTACCCAAAGCAATCTATAAATTCAGTGCAATCACCATTAAAATACCAATGGCAAATTTCACAGACCTAGAAAAAACTCTCCAAAATTCATATGGAATAAAAAAAAGACCCCGAATAGCCGTAGTAATCCTGAGAAAGACTAATAGAGAGAGGATTCTAGATGGCTACACAGGTAAACACCTAACCGCAGCCACACACAACAATTTCAATAAAATACAACTAAAATACAAAATGGACATTACCCAGAATTACAGGAAAGTCGACTGACTGGCAATTCTACAACGAGAAGGAAAGAGAAAACCAGAAGGAAAATCAGAGGAGCTGGAAAAGCCTAAGGTACGGAAATATGCTGCGTGCGCAGAAGGACAGAGCCGGAGAGGAGGGGGAGGCTGAGTGCCTGGCTGGCATTTCCTAGCAGGAAGGAGACAAAAGCTCCGGACTGTGCTGTACCCCAGACCTGACAGCGCTGAACCCCAGTTCTAGGCCAGACCCTGGGGACCCAGGCACATACAGAGGGAATCTGGGCTGTTAGGCGGAATCTCAGGGGAGCAGCGAAAGGCAGAGCCTCTGGAGGCGCGCACATTGCGCGCAGCGGATGGACTGTTGACTCTGCTGCTAGATTGCCCTAGTAGGAAGGAGACAAAAGCTCCGTACTGTGCTGAGCCCCAGTTCCGGCTGCTCTGAACCCCAGTTATAGGCCAGACTCCGGGGACCCAGGCTCGTACAGAGGGAGCCTGGGCTGTAAGGCAGAAACCGAGGGGAGCGGCGAAAGGAGGTCCCGGAGGCAGGCACATTACGCGCAGAGAACAGACAGTTGGCTGTGCCGTGGGATTGCCCTGGTGGGAAGGAGACAAAAGCTCCGGACTGCTCTGAACCCCACTTCCAATCCCACTTGCAACTGAACTGAACCCCAGATCTGGCTCATTGGGGGAGAGCCTAGACTGTTTGGTAGCAGGTGAAACTCTAGGGCACCTTACTCTCATAGGTGCTTGCAGTGAGTACCAAAGGACCCTGAGGAACGCTGAGACTCAGGAGCCGCATAGGGCGTGGCTGACGGAAGCCAAGGCTGTAGGTTCCACCCTGAAACTCCGCCCCATCCAAGCTGAGCACAGAGGCTTTTAAAGTTACCAACTCAGGGAAGCTGTGAAAATGCCGAGACGAGGAAATAGATCACAAACGAAAGAAATGGAGGACAAAAAGTGACTGGATATAGAGTTCAAAACCATGCTTATGAGTTTTTTCAAGAATTTCCTAGAAAAGGTCGATAAGACCTATGAGGATATGAAAAGGGATCAACTAGAAATAATAAGGAATCAACAAGAAATAATAAGGGATCAACACGAAATAAAGAATACATTGTCTGGAATAAAAAATATTATACAGAGTCCTAAAAACAGAATGGAAGATCGCAAGAATCAAGTCAAAGATTTGGAACATAAAGAGCCAGAAGACACTCCTCCGCAGAAGCAAGAAGACGAGAATCCAGAAAGTTGAAGATAATGTAAGAAACCTCTGGGACAACTTCAAGCGAACCAACATCAGAATTATGGGGGTCCCAGAAGATGAGAAAGAGCAAGATATCGACAACATACTGAAAGAAAGTGACAAAAAACTTATATGGGGAACTCATATCATTTAACAAAAGGAAGATAAACAACCCAATCAAAAAAATGGACAAAGGACTTAAATAGACACTTTTTGAAAGACATACAGAAGGGAAGATACATGAAAACATGCTCAAAGTCACTAATCATCTGGAAGATGCAAATCAAAACGACAATGGGGTACCATCTCACACCTGTCAGAATGACTATCATTAACAAATCAACAAATGACAAGTGCTGGAGAGGATGTAGAGAAAAAGGAACCCTTGTGCACTGCTGGTGGGAATGCAGACTGGTGCAGCCACTGTGGAGAACAGTGTGGAGTTTCTTCAAAAAAATTTAAAAGGGAACTCCCATTTGATTCAGTAATCCCACCTCTAGGAATATATCCCAAGAAATCAGAAACACCAATCAGAAAGTATATATGCACCCCTATGCTCATAGCAGCATAATTTACAATAGCTAAGATTTGGAAACAGCTCAAGTGCCCATCAGCAGATGAGTGAATTAAAAACCAGTGGTACATCTGCACAATGGAATACTATGCTGCTGTAAAAACAAAGGAACTCTTACCATTTGCAACAGCATGGGTGGACCTGGAGAGCATTATGCTAAGTGAAATAAGCCAGTAGGAGAAAGATAAATATCACATGATCTCACTCATTTGTGGACAACATAAACTGATGAACAAAAAATAGACCTAGAGTCATAGAAGCATTGAACAGACTGTTCAACTTAAAGGAAGACAGGAGATGGGGATGAGGGGGGGTGGGTAATGGTATTGTCTTGAATTTCTATAACAATGCAAATGAAAAGATATACAGTTATAATTCTAGTTTTGTGAAACTCATAACAATACTATATCCCGCACCCCCCATAAAAGAGGAATATGATAATAGGAAGCCAGAGTGTGGATACTGGGATGCTCATTGCTATGAGATTATTCATTGCTTCTAGTGACAGAGCAATTGATTTTCTTAAAAAATGAAAATTCCTCCTAAAGCTATATTGATATTTCCAATTCAAACTGTAAATGTAAGCAAAAACTCTAGGTTTATAGAGTTTTTACTTATTTGATTATATATGTGTGTGTATATATTATTTTTTACACAGTACGAATCTTGCTTCCTAATGGTATTAACATATATGTATGTGTGTATCCAGAAGGAAATGGCTGGTGTTATTATTAAGCCTATGGTAGAATTACTGGCTGTAATTTAAGATTTACTTGTTCTCAGGCCATCTGCCCTGGAGACACACATTCATGTGAGCAGTACTACATTTTCAAATCATTTGCATCAACCCTTCTCGTGGTGAATCTGATAGCTTGATATGCATTTAGGCTCATTTTTTTTCATTTTTTTTATTTGTAGGAATTGCTTTAGCATTTACATTTTGATTTAATTTAGACTTATAATTAGTTAAAATGTTTTTACATGATTCCACAGGAAAAGCTGTAACACAAAGTCAATATATTCAGAGAAACCTGATTTCTATTCTGATCTCCTTGCCTGTTTCTTCAGCCCCTGCAAGTTTTTTAGAAGTGCCTGCTAAACCATTTTGAATAGGTTTTGGTTTATTCTTACCTTTATAAGCACACTCACACACATACACACGTAACTAAGCAAATTCACAGTTGTCCTTGTCTTCTGCCCCTTCTTGTTCCTCTTCTCAGATGCAAGGTGGCTGCTGTGTTTGCTGCTCTATTCTTTGCTTTCCCCACTGTCTAGTGTGTCCTGGGGGCCAGCGCATAGCAGTCCAGGGAAAGCCTCCTTATTCCTTTGCTCTGGCTGCATAGCACTCCGCTGAGTACATGCAGCATTGTTTATCAGTAGACATTTGGGTTATCTCTACTTTTTTGCCACTTTAAAATTATTGCAACAAATAGCCTTATATCATTTCTATTTGGGAGTGGATTTCCACAAAGGCTAAATGTATTTATAATTTTTTATGATATGCTAAGTTTTCATTATTGTTATTTTCAAGAAATTATACAAAATGGACTTGTATTTCTTCCTTGAGCCAAGCATTTTAAAAGGAGTAAATACTTTTAAATGTTGAACAGTCTAACAGGATTGAATGTAGTTTCAAAGAAAAAAAAAACCACTGTATTTCTACTCTCCTAACATCAGTATTTTGATTAGTTTTGCATTTTCTTCTCTAGGTGCTTACATTTGCCCCACACAGGTCTCATCTGATGGTTTCTTCCATTCATTCATTACTTCAGACAGGTTCTGAGTGCCCATAAGGAGCAAGGTGTGAGGTTTCATACTGGGAATAAAGAGAGGAGTAGGATATCCCCTCTTCTCCATTTCTGTATTCTTTAGACAGAAATGTGATGAAATCATCTCACTGAACATGCCTCGGACTCTTCAGCCCTGGGCACAGCTCATACTCCTTCATGGCTCACCTGTTCCCATCCTGCCACTGATGCCACACGCACCTACCAGTCCCTTCATTCCCCTTGATCCTCCCGAATGCCCCTCCCCTCCTACTCTCACCAGTCTCCGCCTCACTTTCACAGAGGCTGGCCCTTCCAGATGGCCACAGTGTGGGCCACTGGGAGTTCCTGAGGGTTCCTGATGAGTTAGGATTCTCACTTCAGCAAAAATGCACATTTTTTTTTACATGTGGGAGTGGTATTCCAGGTCCCATCCAGCATCAGATCTCAGGCCAACTTGTCTCTCTGTTCATCCTCAGGTATCTTTCACGGCCATTGAACATGCAGTGACTCCGTGTAAGGCATGAAATTAATAAAATCAGGCATATTATCAATATTATCACCTTGACTGCTACTATTTAACAGCTCCCATTGCTGGACTCCCTTTGTCACACAGCATGCTCCAGGATTAGCCAGGATTCTTGTTTACTTTTCTGAACCTCCCTGTGAAGTATTGGCACCCTTATTAATTCATCCTTGCTGTAGAGATGAGGAACTTGCGGTACAGAGGTGTGGTTGCATGAGTTGGGGAGCAGCGAGTTGGAGGAGGAACCTAGGATTTTGCGTCAATCTCACTAGGCTCACATGTTGTGTGTTTTAGGATTGCCCAGATTCCATGGGTATTGTAACCAATACTTTCTCTCCCATTTTAGACTTTGAGCCCCTGACTGTACAGCTAGGTCTTACTTAACTCTGGGGCCTAGCTTAGGGTCTGCTACCTATAGATATTTTCTGTAAAGAATTATGGAACTGAATCAGCTGTAAATACTCCACATTTCTTCAGCTGTCATGCACTTCTTGCCTTATATCTCTGGGGAATGGATGTCCCATTCCCTACTTAAGTCTGATGTCTTCATTTCCTCTTTGCTTCCACCTTCTGTCTCATAAGCTTGCTTATTTTTCCAGGCCCTCTCATTGGCTTTTTCCTTCTGATTATTATTGTTTTTTAAAATATATATGTAGCCGAAACCAGTTTGGCTCAGTGATAGAGCGTCGGTTTGAGGACTGAAAGGTCCCGAGTTCGATTCCGGTCAAGGACATGTACATTGGTTGCGGGCACATCCCCAGTAGGGGGTGTGCAAGAGGCAGGTGGTCAATGATTCTCTCTCATCGACGTTTCTAGCTCTCTTTCTCTCTCCCTTCTTCTCTGTAAAAAATCAATAAATATATATTTTTAAAATATATATTTATTGATTTCAGAGAGAGGAAGGGAAAAGGAGAGATAGAAACATCAATGATGTGAGAGAATCATTGATCGGCTGCTCCCTGCCCACCCCCTCCTGGGAATCGAGCCCACAACCTGGGCGTGTGCCCTTGACTGGAATTAAACCCGGGACCCTTCAGTCTATCCACTGAGCCAAACTGGCTAGGGCTCAGTTGATTATAATCATGCCTAAGTCTCCCTCATCTTTTCATCCCCTTGCCTTGACCCTGGATACCCAATTACTGCTTTCCCTACTGCAAGCTTCTCAAACCAGGAGCCTCAGCAGCCTCTACCCCTTAATGGGCTCACAGTCAGACCTCAGCTACTGCACTGCAGATGCTCCCAAAAGCCACGGACTCAACTTACCTCATTGTGAAATCCAGTGTTTTTGATTTTTTAAAAAATAGTTTCATTTTCTAAAATATCATGAAATATTTTAATCACAGGAGAGGTGCGTAATAAACACCCATATAACCACTGCTCTTATTCAACAAGTATTAACATTTTGCAATTTTGCTTCCAACCTTTATGTTTATAGGTGACAGATATAGTTAAGACTGCTTTTTGCCCCCCCGGCTCCCACTTGTCTCCCTCCCGCCCCTTCAGTAGAACTGCCATCCTGAGCTCAGGGTGACCCTTCCTTCTGGGGATTTTAGGGTCACCCTGCTGTGTAAGCGGCCCTGAGTGAGACAGTGCCTTGTTTGGGGTGCTTTAAAGCCTTACCTAAGTGGCATCAGGCTTCATCTCTATTCTGCCTCTTGCTGGTTGATATTTCTCCATGTTTAAGATCTATCCACATTTATCAAAAACTCTTGGTCATTCATTTTAACTGTGTTACGGAATTACATTTCTTTTTCCTAGGCTTGCTTCGTTTGTACCATTTGTCACTGTTAGGCACTTGGGTTTTTGAAGACCCCTTTCTTGGATGCCCACCTGGCACCTCATGGCCCTGCCTGACAGTGGTAAAAAGTGATCAGGACATGGACTCTGTTCCTCCAAGGACCGTCCTGACTCTTCCCTCTCTGGACTCTGACACTGTCTCTTAGGGATCCTAGCCAGCACTCATCTGGGGCACACTCACCTGAACCCTGGTCTGAGCCCTTCTGCTTGTTCAGTCATTCACTGTTACTGTCCACTGTGAGGCCAGAGCAAGGCCCTGAGGAGGTAATTCCTTACCCAGATGCCTAGCTAGTAATGGCAGTGCGCAGGTCTTCTCCTCTTACCTTTCCCTTGTAAGAACCCTTGTGGTGCATTTAGGGCCTACCCCAATAATCCTGGATGACCTCAAGATCCTGAACTTAATCACATCTGCAAAGACTTTTTCTCCAAATAAGGTCCCATATTGCAAGGATTAGCCATGGATATAACTTTTGGGGGTCATCCTTCACCCTTATCAGGCTTCGAACTGCCTTTGCCATCTGGCTCCATGTCCACTCATAGCTCCTCCTCGCTGTCTGGTGTGCCCTCCCAGCTGCCCTTACGAGCCATAACCTGGGATTGTGTCCCACAGGGAGGCAGCTGACACGTCTGACTCCTTTGTTCTGTGGTCCTCTCTGTTCTCTGCTCCTGACATAGACACTCACCAAGTGCTCGACACCTCAGAGTTATTGGGGGCATCGCTGTCTCTAGTTGGACATGCAGTCCCATAACCTTGCCTGGTGATATTGCCTTTTCTCTGTTCGCCTCCCCCAACACAATTGCTGCAATCACTTCCTCGCTGACCTCTCTGCCCACAGTCTGTCATTGTCTCCAATTTCCTCGGTACACAGCGCCAGAAAGATCTTCCAAAATACTTTTTCATCCTGTCACCTGTTCAGAAAGTTAATGCTGCAGCTTTAGTCTCAGAGGTTGGTTCTCTGTAACCGCTCTATGCTCCTCATGTGTGACTCTTTATACTCCGGGTCCCATCGCTGTTCTCTTACCTCAACATAGGCCTGGATGACATGGAGTACAGCCTCCCACTACTTTGCAAAACACCAGGACACCACCTGGAGCAGCATATTCAGTGACTGACTCTATCGATTGGAATTTCCTCTGCTTTCATTTCCCCAAAAATGTCATCTCTCCCAGCATCCTAGGTTTCCTCTGAATTCTTGTGCTTGCTCACCCCAGGCCCACTATGCAGTACAGCCTTCTGCCTTTCTCTTCTCTGCACAGAGTCTTCCTGATCCTGTCCTGCACACAGGCCCCTTCTAAGCCCTGCCTCCTGTTGCAACTGACATGATTCACACCCAGGCGTGGTGTCCTGGTGTTTTGCAAAGTAGTGGGAGGCTGTACTCCATGTCATCAACCTGCTGCCAGGTCCTGCGGGTGTACAGGAGGACAGAGGACAAGTTATACATGGCACCCAGCCATGTCTGGGTGGGAAAGACAGACGGCATTGTGTCATCATCCAGAAAAATGTGTGTATTTGTATGTGTGCATGCATGTGAGTGTGCACATGCACTTGCGTGCATTCATATGAGTGTAGATCTGAAACATGAGTCATGAGAGGAAAGTGTAGGGTACTGTTAGGGTACAGATGGGATCTGACCTGATGGGGTTCAGGAGAAGGACGTTGGCCTGAGAGCATCAAATGGCAGGAGCTAGTCTATTAGAGGGAATGCATGATCTAAGGCCTTAGGAAGGAAGTATGCCTGAAGGTTCCAGAACCATGGTGGAGGGGAGGCAGGGTCAGCTGGGTACTCTGCTGAGAAAGCTTGGTCTTCATCCTGAGAGCATTTGGGCTCACTCTGTGATTCCCCTTTGCCTTTTTCCTCTTCTAGGTTAGACAGTCAAGCCAGGAAGTGCTCTTGATTCTTCTGGAGCAGGATCTGATTTTCCAGCACGATATTGAAAACAAAGTGTGTCCAATCCTGCTGGCGCTCTCTGCCCCAGACAGTGACGATGAATGCAAAGCCGAAGCCATGAACGTAAGTCTGTTTGGGGAACAACAGACCCATGCCTGGTGGCTGTCAAGTGGCTGGGCATGTGACTTGAAGTGTCCCATGTGTTCACTGTTGGCCAGCCCTGTTCTCATAGACAAGGTAGCTGGTGGTTCGTCCTTGCTCAGAGAAAATTAATGGTTCAGATCTGAGTGTATTTGAAAGTGACTATGTCACCAATTACTTTAATAAAGCAAAGCATGGAATGTCAGTGATTTGGGCAGAATTGGGGCAGCTGGCTTCACTTTCTGCTGGGCAGGATGCTGAGATGGGTAGATGAATCCTTAAACCTGCTTGGATCATGGACCTGGTTTCAAAGTTAAACAAGATTTAACTACCTGGTGTGATATGGGAGATGATTTTAGGTGCTATCAGGACAATTAAATCCTAATAGGCATGCATGACTATTTTATTGATTAGGCAAGACTGAAGTGGGCATGTCACTAGGTAAGAAAGAGACACTCTGAAGAATGCAGTTTGGGAAATACTATGTTAAGTTTTTTTGTTTTGTTTTTTTAAATCTTTATTCATATTATTACAACTGTTCCTCTCCCCCCCCGCCAATAGCTCCCCTCCAACCAGTTCTCACCCCACCCTTTGCCCCCCCCCCCAATGTCCTCATCCATAGGTATACGATTTTTGTCCAGTCTTTTCCCGCACCTCCCCACATCCCTTTCCCCACCACCGAGCATTGTCAGTCCACTCTCTTTCTATGCCCCCGATTCTATTACATTCATCAGTTTATTCTGTTCATCAGATTTTTATTCACTTGATTTTTAGATTCACTTGTTGATACATACATACTTGTTGTTCATAATTTTTATCTTTACCTTCTTCTTTTTCCTCTTTTTATAGAATACCTTTCAGCATTTCATATAACACTGGTTAGGTGGAGATGAACTCCTTTAGCTTTTTCTTACCTGTGAAGCTCTTTAACTGATGTTCAATTCTGAATGATAGTTTTTTCTTGGTAGAGTAATCTTGGTTGTAAGTTCTTGCTACTCATCAACTTTGAATATTTCTTGCCACTCCCATATGACCTGCATAGTTTCTGTTGAGAAATCAACTGATAATTGTATGGGTGCTTCCTTGTAGGTAACTAACTGTTTTTCTCTTGCTGCTTTTAAGATTCTCTCTTTGTCTCTGCTCTTGGTATTTTAATTATGATGTGTTTTGGTGTGGTCCTCTTTGGATTCCTTTTGTTTGGGGTTCTCTGTGCTTTCTGAACTTGTAAGTCTATTTCTTTCACCAGGTGGGGAAAGTTTTTGGTAATTATTTCTTCAAATAGATTTTCAGTGTCTTGCTCTCGCTCTTCTTCTGGCACACTCATAATTCTGATGTTGGTATGCTTGAAGTTGTCCCAAAAGCTTCTTACACTATCTTTAACTTTTTGGATTCTTTTTTCTTTTGCTTTTCTGGTTGGATGTTTTTTGCTTCTTTGTATTTTGAATCTTTGACTTGATTCTTGTGATCCTCTAGTCTGCTGTTGTATCTCTGTATATTATTTTTTATTTCAGTAAGTGTATGCTTAATTTCTAGTTGGTCCTTTTTTATATCTTTAAGGGTCTTGCTAAATTTATCGGTCTTTTCTAGAAAATTCTTGAGAAACCTTATTACTGTGGTTTTGAACTCAATATCCAGTCATTTGCTTTCCTCCATTTCTTTCATTTGTGACCTGTTTTTTTGTCTCCACATTTTGGCTGCTTCCCTGCGTTGATAGAATGGCTTTGTGTGCTAGGTGTCCTATGGGGCCCAGTGGCTCAGCCTCCTCTGTTACTTGAGATGGACACTCTTGGTGGACCCCTTTCTGGGCTGTGTGCATAGTGTTATTGTAGTTAAATCTTGTTTGTTGTTGGTATCACTGGGAGGAATTGATCTCCAGGTCAATTAGCTGTGAGAATCATCTGTGTCTGTGCTGGGAGAACTTCTGTGCTGGAGACACCCTTATGAGACAAGACTTACAAAAGCCTCTGTACTCAGCTTGGATGGGGTAGGGTCTCAGGGTTGAGCAGATAACAATGGCTTCTTGTCAGCCCTGCATTAAGCGGCTCCCCAGGCCTCAGTGTCCCGTGGTAATCGCTGTAATCACCTGAGAGAAAGCCGCTCCTGAGTATCGCCTGCTGCCAGACAGTCCAATTTCTCCCCAAATGAGTCTGGGTCCCCAGAGTCTCACCTGGAACTGGAGTTCAGAGTGGTTGGGAGCTTTTGTCTCCCTCCCGGTTGAGAAAGCCAGCCGCGTACTCATTTGCTTGTGTGCGTGCGCTGTACCTCTGCCTTCTGCAGCTCCTCTGAGTCTCAGTGTGCTTTTCTCTTTCCTTCTAGTTGTAGAATTTCCACTCAGCCAGTCTTCCTGTGGTTCTGGATGATGTCGTTTTGTCTTTTAGTTGTAGTTTTGAAATTGTTGTGTGAGGCAGCAGTTTAGGTGTTTACCTATGCTGCCATCTTGATTTCTCCCCCTGTGTTAAGTATTTGTGCTAATACCAGTTAAAGGCATACAAATAAAGGACTAGTCTAAACTAAATTTCTTCTGCTTTTAACAGTTAATTTTGTAGTGTTCTTGGGTTTGTAGGATTCTGTATGCATTGTGAAGTGATTGTCCAAAAGGGGCTTTCTGTTGGCTTCTGGTACCCTTGTTCAAACACAGACTATTGAACAGTCAATACCAGTGGTCATGGATTGGCTGCGACCAAGACTCTCCAAGGGAAGGTCACCCAAGGCCATCGTGTTTTCTTAGCTGCTGTCCCCACTGCTGCCCCTTGACTGTTGCAGGAGGTGCTACCCAGCATGGCCTTTCTATTTGTGTCCTAGAAGTAAACAGCTCCAGCATTTTAGGAAACATCCTACCCAAGGTGGTAACGTCATAAGCCTCAGTTAGGAGAGCAGTAAGGTATAGGAGGTAGCTGTTTTCTTGTTTGTAACGGAATGACGTGAGAGAAAGGAATTCTTCTCTTTGTCCCAGTGTGGAAGCATTGTACACCGTGGAGCAAAAAAATTGTATTAGAGCATCAGAACATCTGGCAGTTATTCTTCATTTATGTAAAAGTTTTCCTCAACTCTGAGTTAGAGGTCTGGCTTTTTAAACTAATTTAATATTTTGCATATCCCATATGTTTATAAGATGGATCAGGCTGAAGAATAATTGATTATTAAAATTCAAATTCTCCAGGGTTCCCTTATAAATTTCAAGTTTCTCTCTAAGAAATTAAATTTGTTGTGGGAAACGAACCTGGATAATACCATTAGTTGGAGTATTTGGCAGTTGAGTAGTGAACTTTGCCAACTCAATCTTTTTTGTTTGAAAGTTGGTTAGGCAAATTTCCAAGGTTACGACTGACAACCAAATATATTATCCCTAAAGACTGATAATACCATGAAAAATAATGCTTAAGGCATTTTTGCATGAGTTTTATTTTGTTTTGTTTCCAACCATTCCATTCTTGTCAGCAATATTGTTCTTTTTTCCCGTGGTGAAAATATTTAGAAAATATAACAAGCCTTCAAAAAGCTATCTCCACAAATCACTTGCAGAACAAATTAGTTCACATAAATTGTATTTTTCATTCCAACTGAGTTGCTGATATCATTATTTGAATGCCTAAGTATTCAGATGTGGCTGCAGAGAACAAAAGTGGTCTTGAGCCCTTGGCAGGCCAGGCACATCTGTGATTCAAGTATTTGGGGGGAGGGGGGGAAGGGTGGCGGGGGCGGCGCTGCGCTTTGCTCCCCAGGCCACCCTGATGTAAGGTGGTCTGGGTCTTGTCTGGCCCATGCCTGCTTTGGTCACATTCAGAAGCTGTTCTGTCTTCCTTTCCTGGAGCCCCAAGGTCCAAGAGTCTTGGAGAGGGGCTCACTCCTCGGACACCCAGAGTTGTGGAGCACATTTGGCACTCTCTTTTGAGCTAGAAAAGTGTGTTCAGTCTTTGGACATTTGGATAAGCGTATATCTCATTCTTCCAGGAACAGAAGACCATGTGTGATTCACAGAGCCCCCAAGGTGGACAGGGTTCTCAGTTAGCTGCTCTGTGAGTACAAAGCCACACTGGGCACTGAGGTGTGCTTGTGACGAGGTGACGTGTGGGAGGAGAAGCAAATGGGACTGCTCTGGTGCCTTGTGTTTTAGGGCTCTCTTTGCACCATATGGCGTGAGTGATGCTGTGTCCATGTACATAAACACACTCTCAGAGCAGTGCCGTTTTACAGGAAGTGCTGTTTGCTCCCAGGAAATGTCAGGCCTCCATAGACAGGTGTGCTTCTGTCCATTAGACTTTTCATTCTCATTGGAAATTGCACTCTGGATTCTGATGCCAGCAACCCCAGTGCATATGTGATTAGGAAAATCGGAGCAGCCAACTAGATGCCTCCTGGGCATTCTTGAGTTGTGCAGAACAAATGGCATGTTTCTTACATCTTGGCTTCTTGCACATGCATGCATTTTTGTCTTGTGAAGTCTTTTTAGCTTTATCAGAACATGGTTGTGATGCCCCCCTTTAAATGTTTGGAAGGCTTGCTTCATATCTGTCTTCTCCCATCCAGCAGCTGAACTGTGAACTTCCTTTGTTTGTTTATTTCCCCTTCCAAATGGTGAACTTCTTAAACACAGGTGTCTTTCCACCATCAGCACCCAGTACAATGCTGGGCCCAGAGTCTAAACTAAGTAAATTTTAAAAAATTGATTTCAGAGAAGAAGGGAGAGGAAGAAATCGAAAGGTCAATGATGAGAGAGAAACATTGAATAGCTGCCTCCTGCACACCCCACACTGGGGATTGAGCCCGAAACCAGGCATGTTCCCTGACCAGATATTGAACCTTGATTCAGAGGTTGACACTCAACCACTGAGCCACACCAGCCAGGCAGTAAATGTTTTTAAATGAATGGATCGGTATAAACTGGAAGCACTGTATCCTGTAATTACATCTAGACAGCACAAACAGGCCACCAGAGACCAATTATAATTCCTCGTGCTTGCAAGAAGGCCATTAGCATTCTG